TCCTAACTTATACGTTTCTCTTTCGTAAAATTTTCTGTTCAGGAGTGTAGCATTGTATATCACTCCAGCGGTTTTATGCGTACGCTATAATTGCTTTTCAGAAAAAAAAAAGTATTTACATTTTCTGTTTTCAGCATGACTTTGTTTCTATATGTGGTCACTGGCCTTGATGACTCTATTGTTGCTATTTTTAAGCATTATACTTGAGTAGTGGATTCGATTCCACCAGTCGGGCAATTTAGCCCAAATCCGAATCTGGTACGCAAGCTAAATTTCTAAACCGATTTTTTTCAATTGTCAAGCATATTTTTAATAAGATAGTGTAATTTGTACCACAAATAATAAAACAACTTTGTAGTAACAATGCATTGTACTCTTTTTTTTTTAATTGGGAAGGTGGCAAGCGAGCTGGCGGTTCACCTGATGTTAAGTGATAGTCGTCGCCCATGGGCATTAATAAAGTGAGCCCCGGTTACCTCACTCACCAGACACAACAAAGTTTAACACTTCCACTTCACGCCGGTCTTCTGCGAGCTCCTGGTACACCTGCAAACGGATCTGCCCGTTCTTACAACAGCGAAGACTGTTGCGTGGCCATAGTTAACCGTTGATTAGTAAATCATCAACGTTTTTACGGCCCTGAATCTTCTTCTTCTGACGAACGAGTTTATTCCATTCATATTCATTCAATATACATATTCAATTCAATTCAATATTTTAGGACACATTTTTTTACACAACATTCTCCAGTCCCAAACTAAGCAAAGCTTGTACTATGGGTACTAGAAAACTGATAAATATACTTAAACATACTTTTTTTTGGAAATAAATACATATTATACATATATACACACTCAGACACTAGAAAAACACCATGTTCATCACATAATATTTTTCCAGTAGTGGGGATCAAACCCACACCCTATGGCGCAGGAGGCAGGTACACCACCCACAACGCCATTCGGGTCGTCGTTACCTGTTCAAATCTCAACTCTCGTCCGAATATGTTATGCATAACGTAGATGCTGAACACAGTTAAAAGTTTAGAAATGCGCTGCGCTGATGCTGATGTGGACTTTCGTAACAAGCTGTTATGTTCGCATCGACGTGAACGGTCTAACTTTAAATTATTCTCCAGTTTAGATAACGGGAAAGTTTCCAGTGGACTTTCATGGTTGTTGGTGCAGTGCGTTGCGAGATGCGAATATCTATTACGAATTTAATTTTGTTACGACATAACGAATGTTGACCGCATGTTGTCGACAATTGCGTTGCAACGAGGTTTAGAATATCAGTAGAATGAAAAATAAAAAAAAAAGGCCAAGTGTGAGTTGAATTCGCGCACGGGTTCCGTTCCATTATTAAAAATAAAACGCCAACGTCTGTTGCATGGGAGCCCCACTTAAATATTTTTTATTCCGTTTTTTTAGTACTTGTTGTTATAGGGGCGACAGAAATACATCATCTATGGAAATTTAAATTGTCTAACTATCACGGTTCAAGAGAGAGAGCCCGATGGTGGTCCGACAGACATACAGACGGACAGCGGATTCTTAGTAATGTTAACTGTATTCAACTGTTGCTTGTTATGAATTTCGCTAATTTACGTACCCAGTGTTTGAATAGGTTTTCTTTAACTCGGTGATTGTTGAAATTTGAACAGCTTTTCGCAGTTATTAACATGAAGCTGTCAGACGAAAGATAAGGGGGCGTAAATTTGTACAGGATCGTCTATTAAATTCCTCGTCGACGTCGTACGATTAGGTTATGACAAGTTATGCTCCCGTAATAAAATTATTGTAAACTCGATATAACGACTTTTGCAAATCACATTTGTCTTCAATCTATGGTCGTCATTAGGTCTAATGATGCGCTTAATAATGTAGGACGTACACATCGATAGTGTAACGCGATTACGTTTCTCCATTAACGTTGCACGGGTGGCTAATTATTTTTCGATAATTGAGTTTCCTATGTTGCATTTTGTTGTCGATGCTACATTGTGCCATACTAATAAATTAGTTATTTACTGTTCACTGTTTTTAAAAGGAATAACATTAGGTAATTGGATTTTGAATTGATGTTTATAAAAGAATCACATTTATGGATATTAAATTTATGAAATTCGTAGTTACTGCCACGTTTACTCATGTCCTTCGTACGTTTTGACGCGTTTTAAAGTTGTAAACCGTTTAAAAGCTTCTTTCGGATACTTAGATTTCCATAATCTGCTTGACCCTCTTTAAATTCAGGTACAAAATCGACTTTTATCATATTCAACTTAATATTAAAACACGGCCTCGTGAGCCGAAACAGTTCTGCCATAATATTGTCTTAGGTCGATTTGTGAAACTGAGATTGAATTTCCAAAGCGACAAATTGGCACGTCGTATTATTGTTCGCTTGTCGAAGTTTGAATTTACTATGTCCGAGTTCAGCCGTTGGATATTTCCGGCAATAAGACGGCGTAGTTGTGCACTGCGCTACTTCTCCGGATATCCTATTATGGTGAAATCCACATCCTATTAAGGCATAATTGCTCACGCGGATTGAACTATGTAAATATTATCAAGCTCCCGAATGGATTTTTCGATTATATTATATAAGTTATTACCTCTTGTTAGTCGCCGAATCAGTCCTCTTGAATACCGTAATGTAATATTAAGCTCCAATCTCTCCTTTGTTGTATTCAATTAACTTGTAATAAAAACGAAAAATAATTATGTCTTTATTGATTCATGTATATTCACGAAAAGTTGCTTTTATATAATAGGTTATTGAAGTGGCATAAAAGCTGGTAAGAATACTTATTTATTACTAATAATTGCTAATTGTATTATACTACTTACTTATATTATACATCTAATGCATATAATACAACGGCTTTGATTATAATAAGGTCCTTAACAAGAGCTTTTCTCTTTATTAAAACTTGTTTTATTTCGTAGAATACCTGAATTAAAAATTATTTTACAAAGTTATTCTCAGTATTGCCTTTTATACTCGTAGAATCATGAATAGCTTTGAAAATCAAATATAAAGAATCATGAAATAAAAAGTGCTTCAAGTTTTTACTTTGTTCTTTAAAAACTCCAAAGTATTGACTATTTTTCAAGTAATATTTTTCTTCTTTTACCTTACATCTTTTTCCTTGTTTTATATTAACAGACAGTTTTTGTATTCGCAACAAGCTTTGAAAACTAAGCAAGTTGTAGTAGTTTATTGAAGCATCTCCTCATTTATTCATCGCCTTGCTAACATAGCCTTTTTACTGTAGCCGCTTCGGAATACTTGACAAATCGCAAGAGTGATTTCAATAAAACGTATGCGATGAAGGTTCTTATCTTGAGACATTTCGAGAGATTTTTGAAAATTTGCCGTAAACGTTCATTGCAGATTTATGCACTAGGAAATTTGAAAGGTTCTATAGCCGGGTTCGTTAGTCATGTTTGTTCATCGTCATCATTATCACCACCATCATCATCACAATCAATCTACATAAATTAACCCTATCATTTGACAAACTGCGGCCTCAAATTTACTTTTATCTCACATCTTTTCATTTCTTTTCTAGTTTAATTCTTAGTTATTACTATGACCATTTGATATCGTCAGCCTTTCGTTGCCCAATGCTGGACATAGGCCTCTCCAAGTTAACGCCACATGACTCGATCTTGATCTTGCACCGTCAGTGAACAGTTCCTGCCAGAAATCTTACGCAAGTTATCACTCTAAACTTGGTTAAACGCGGTCACCAGTTTAGATCGTTTCATCTCATGTTTCCAAATTTAAGTTAGATAGGAACGATGTCAAGATGAATAGTACAAGTTGTAAGGCGCCTCTAAGCTCTTAAATCTTGAACGTTCCTGTAACAACTTTAATATGCTTCCGATAGTCCCACCATTAAAGTTAGTTAATTTTTAAAACGGAATATACATAAAATCGTCTCGGCTATTAAAGTTAAATTATAGTTATTTTAAGAATGTGGCCTAGATCTAAGAAGTACATTAACATTTATTATAATATGATGTTTTTGAGATCTATTCATAAAGTATGAACTAAGTGTGTTATATATAAGCCAACGACCACGGCCATTACATTGACTTTTGTCGATTTTTATATATTGAACTCGCGTGGAAAACTAAGTAAAAATAATTTAAACGTCTACCGGATTTTATCGTACTTAAAATTAATTCAACAAAAATATTATGTTCATAGCATTCAATTTATAAGTATGATCAACGCTAAATTTTAAACTATAATTCAGCTTGCTCACATATTATTCATTTTAAATTTTCTAGGCATTATCTAACAATGTGTATTACTTTCGACTGGCCTATATAAACAAGTTTATATTTACGAACACGCTTTTATAATCACAATAACATCTCTCCTGAGAATTTCTCTGTTTAATTATTTACATAAAGATTATTTTAAAAACCAGAGCTAAACGTTTCTATTTTAAATATTTGTTCGTCGACTTAAAAGCGTCACAGGTAAACATTTGAGCTGTATATTTCATTAAACATGGATACACCGGACGCACTGCGCGTTAATTGAAACGAACATAATCAGATAATTGCACTTTACTAGTTGAAAATGATAAATGAAGCGCGCGTTAATTTTTCCGTTTCGCGTAAAAACCACAATTATGTAATGAAATTGTTTTGAATCAGTCAACTGTAATGCATTTCTGGTTTGCGGTAAACGGGCTGTGGCAGTAGAAGCGTCAGACAATATTAATTTCCGGCGGTTTTGTTAAATTGACGGTTAGCTCTGCATCAGTTGGAATTGCGAAATTTGGCCCAAATTCAATGCGAATTGTGTGCGAGTGCTTAATATTTTGTGTTTCTGTCTACATTTGTAACGCCGTTGCGCAAATTGCACTTATCCTAAATTTGCATTTACTGTCGCGACTTTATCAAAATTAGCCTTATGCCAGAGCCATTTTGATAATAAACTTAGTACCGGTAAGTAACCCCTCTCCGTTTTTCCATCAGGCAATAACGCCCCGGTAGAGCCGACGTCTGCGCGCCCCGAAGCGGACCACGTGAAGGAACCCGATTTTGCTGAGAGCCTGGTGATCGAAGAAGAGATACTGCCGCGCCTTTTGTCGGAACAGAAGGCAACCGGCACTGCTATTGGAACATCGCATTCCCCCACTGCACGTGTCATAAACGAGGTAAGTCAATTCGCAAGATGTTCTTCGAACCCTGAGGTACCCCAAGGCGAGGTCCAAGGCGTGAGGCTGCACCCACAACCGTTGTATGGGTGACAGTGAACATGGTACACGCAGGCTCTGGTGATTTTTTGAAGTATTTTAAGTAATTAATTATAATGATTAATCCAGTTGATCAAATATGTAAGATCAGCGTCAGTCAGGTCAGCGTCAGGTCAGGGTCAGCGACTTTGGGACACAAGCCGTACAAATATAGGATACTTTCTCGTGATAGTGTTTTTATCTTTAGGTCGTTATTTAAATAGGAACTAAAAAGATCGAAGACGTGCCCGTGCTGTTAAGAAAGTAAACGCAGTTTGTTCTTGTCGCTCACAACCGTTTCCGTTAGTAGCCACCGCTGTCAGCTTTGGCTCGTGAACGGGGAGAGCAATGACGGGAGCAATTTGTCGAGTGTCGCGCCGGCTTGCATTTATACCGTCCATTTAATAAGCCGCCGCGAAATGAAACTCCGGCTATGGAGTATTATTGATTCGTACAAGTGCATCTATTGCATTTTTGTTTGGAAACAACTGCTCTTAAGCAGGCATATCGCGTCGATTCCAAAGTATAACCCAGACATAATGGGTTTCAAACGCCGTTCCGTTTCCAAAGATGACTTTTTTGACATTATTTAAGATAAAGATTCGGATAAGTTTTTAGCCTATTCCATTCCCAGCATTTGAAATGATGCTTTTTCATACTTATTGATGAATCCTTTACTACTAAAAATTACATTTACACTTAATATTCCAATTGTATGCAAATTATTAAGTTTGGAACTTTTTATAATCTGTAGAGTTGTCTTCAGGTCGTGGAAATAATAATAGAGAATAGAGAGAATTCCCATATAGTTTTTTAATGTGAGAAGGTGGCAAACTAGCGGGCGGTTCACCTGTTGTTAAGCGGTAACAGTCGACCATGGATATTTGCGAGACCCCGTAGAGTTGCAGAAGTGTTACCTTCTAATAAAGTAGGTTCGGGCTACCACGGTCTTCTGTGAGGTCGTGGTATCTGCCCATTCGTGCAACAGCAACAGACTGTTAGGACATGCCCCTGCCACTGTTAAAATTCATAAGGAATTCCATAATTCTCTCGCCATTCTTCGATGTAACCAACAAAATCAACCACCACGAATATTGCAAATTTGTGTACCCCTCGCTAAGTAAGGAGAGAACGGTTTTTCATTATAATAAGCTGTTTAATTTAGATTTATATCATAAAACTATATGTCATAAGGTAATTAATTTACAGTTTAAATAATAAAATGGGGATCGACATTACGATAATCAATCTATCAATCAATCAATATACATCAGGCATTATATGTTTTATCAAGTTGACCTAACTTAGGGCTTAATTTAATATTTCGCTAGAATATGTACCTTTTATTTAAAAGTACAATTTTGTGATAAAATTATGTGAAATATGTTGTTCACTGTTATGAAACAATTTACAAGTCGTCCATTGCGATGCTTACAAGCGTTAATTGCTGGATCGTAAGCGATTCGCAGTTTATTCGTAGACGTCTTGATAAATCTCACGGTGACGTAGCGGTCTACGTCAAGTCTACGGCGACGTAGACCTCAACTTAGTCGCTCTCCGAGGTCTTTAAAACATTATCCGGGAAAAATCTTGAGGAAAAGTCTTCACGATGTTTTTGACGAAGTATTAGAAGTATAAATCACTAATGCAAATAAAAGAGTGAGCCAACACGCACGTGTGTAGATATATAACCTCCGGTATTAGAATAATCACGTATGCAAATATAAACGAAGAGAGAAAATTAAGGATATTAGTTACATTATCCGCTATTTATGACCTGGTGCGCACGATAATGACGTGGAAAATTATATCGTAAGGAACGACACGTACTCAGCCACACCAAGCATTTTTGAGGAAATCCGCAATGCTTGCCGCCTGACAGTCTCCGGGGACAGAACGAAGTAATTTCTAACCTCGCAATTTTCAACGCTGTGCGGTATAAATCTGCGAGGGCGAAATTCAAAGCGCAGCTAACGACCTCGTGCTTATTTCCTCACTTTATAAAACCACATGCGCACATTAAACTCGAGTATTCATTAAATGTTGAACATTTAGTTCTGCATTTGTGGTTAATTTTACATTTCGTTATTTGCGGATGTCGATTGTGTACGAGAAACATTATGTTTATACAGTATGACATTATACTATATTTATAATATTTGCAGGTAAGTAAAAAAACACTGTCCCGTATTTTACAATACCTTTTCTTTCTTCTATTAGCACTAGTTTCTATTGGTCATCGAAGTGATGATCGTTAAGTTACATCAATAATGACATTAGTGACTATTATAAACATAAGACCAATAAACCAAATCACTAACAAAGCAAATAAGTCTAACATCTATACTTTTACGTTTATATTTTAACCGATGTTTTCAGTCTGTAGACAAGCTTCGACGAACGCCGAGCCCGTGATTTTCTCTACCTCTTGATTTTCTCCAGGAATTTTGTCGGAATTGAGTTGAGCATGTTGCAAATGTACAGGAACATTAAAGAAATTTTACTTAAATATGCAACACGAGAAACAAATAAACTGTATAGTTGAGATGGTTGTCACTACTAGAACAAGGGGAAAAACAAACATTGTCCGCTTGCGATATTATTACATTGGTACTTACACCTTACACTTACTTAGATGATGATGATATTGTGTACAACTGCGAGGTATGACACAATCGCACCGAAACTGAGGCACTCGATTTACACAAATTGGTGTAATTATATTGCAATTCTATAGACTGCTATCTCATTCCGTATCATGCTTTCTATATCATCTGTTACATTGCCTTTATATATGTCAAAAAACACTGATTTAACGTACTTCAAATACGGTTCATCTGAAGTGATAAGTACTTCAAATGGTTGTGTTTTGCAATAAGCTATTGCTTTGATAATAAATGTATGAAAACGGATTGGATTAACGTTGGTGACATTCAAATTTTGATATCATTTGATTTTCTAATATGTGATCTCGGTAATAGTTGTTCGACGGCATTTTTGGCGCGTTTTAATATTAAAATTGTTTAGAAAAAAATACTACATAAAAATATTGTTTATAGGTTTAATTTGTCAGAAATAATAGAAAAGAAATAAATAAACCGGTGGTAACTTACGAACGTATTAATTTTTATGTAAAATTTTTGACATTTCATAAGAACGCGCAAGCGTCTATGTGAATATTATTATTTATATATATTTTTTATTTTGATTTTTGATTTAATATTGCTTTTTTGAAATTAAAAATGTTAAATTTAAATTCGTTTAAAAGTATAATCACGGTTTTTCCAGTTTTAAGTTTTCACTTCTGTGAGTAGTTCAAATGATCCCTAATTTTTTTTTTATTTTAGATATGGATATATACAAACCAGATAATCCTTTACTTTAAAGTTTAGCTTTCATTAACTTTATTTACTTTGAGGTATTTAAAATAATGTAGGAATATCAGAGTCGCTTTCATGTTCAGAAAGATAGAGAAATTCTTTGAAGGAAGTTCCTAAGATAATTCCGCTCCGTCTTTATAAATTCTAAAGATATAACGCGGTAGCTTCTTCAGAAATCTAATTTACAATGAACTCGGCTATGCTTGCAATAGAATATCTAATCAGTCTAGGGAATAAATCCTTTGTATGTGAATTTGTTAAAATTAGTTGTTGAGCTACCGGAAAGATTTTAGTACTGTAACTTAAATTTCTTTGGGAGACCTTTCAAAGCATTGATAAGGTTTCGTTCCATTTAAGACTAAACTATTGTTCGATAAAGTACTATTATCATATCCATTAAGTTAATTAAAACTGTAAGACAGTTAAAAGAAGGTCTTTGAACGTCAGGTCGGATTTTCACTGTGGTAGGGTCACACAGCAGTTTTCGGTATGGCACGAGTGGGCAGGTCTGTCCGTGGAAGTACCAGGGTCTCACAGGAGATCGGCGTGCAGTGGAAGTGCTATACTTCTGCGTGTAGTCCGTTGAGTGGGGTAACCGGGGCCTAAAAGTTGGCAACGCACCTGCAACCCTACAGAATTCCTACAGTGGTGATACAGATGTGTATGGGTGGCGGTATTCATTTAAAGCAGGAATCTCGCTCACTGGCACCTGCACATTTCACATTTTATAGGAGGCACAGATTCCCTGCATGTTTGCCTCGTCATAATCACGACGCATTATTCTGCTGTTGCAGCTTTCCACACAACGTTAATTTTCCACTTCGCAAGGTATTACTGTGCTGACATTGTTGAGTATGTGCTGAAGGAAGTACATCAGGCGAATATTCTAGAAATTCGCTCACGGCGAAGTGAGTTGAAAATATTCTACTGCATTCCCCGTCCAACGAGCAACGAAAATCTTAACTATATTCAAGACGTAGTGCTTTAGGTCCCCTCTGAATTGAATTCGTTCACAAAAGACTCCCACGGCTAAAAGTGTATTGGATATTTCGATAGAGTTTCCTTATACTAGGATTAAAATATATCGACTATTAAAATAAGCAACTAAAGTCTCTTCCGCAGTTATTTAAAAATGTCGATAAAATTATTTCAGTTTCGAATTTATGTTTTTGTTGCTTTGTTTTATTCATTCTTGTTAGATTCATTTGAGGGTTGCAGTGTCTTTACGTGTACTTAGTTTATTTAAATCGTTGTAATGAATTAAATTAAATGGAAACAAATCCTGTCAAATTGATATTACGTTAAGATCTCTGGGTTAAAATGCTATTTATGTCAGGTAACACTGTCAACACCTGCCAATATAGTGAGATTAATCTTTAGTGATAAGCAATTAGTCTTGGGGTCTGATGTCAACCCCTTGGCGATCTCGATGGGATAATTGGCATATTTTGGAAGGTCTTTCGACTGAATCTATACCCTAATAGATTTTAGAAGGCAACTAATTATGATCGAAACAGATATTACAATATCGAAATTTTACGT